TATTGGACTTTTATTCCAGAAAATTGAAAACTATGTCTATGCAGAAACATGTACATGAATGTTTACGGAAACTATTTGTAACAGCTCCAAACTAGAAATTAAAATGTCACTCAAGATATAAATGAACAAAACATTTCATTATATGATCTTAACATGGAATACAAAGGAATAAACTATTGATAAATATAACTTAGATTCATCTGAAGGGTATTGAACTGTGTGAACAAATCTTTCAAGAGTAGAAAAAGACAGAGGAGAGTGAAGGGAGGCCACGGGGTATGGGCATAAGAATGATAGCAGAATAAATTAGACATTATTACCTACTCTATGTGCATATGTGATTCCATGACCTGTGTAACTCTACATCATGTACAACTAGAAGATTGAGAATTATGTATGCTGGGTTAGAATGCATTCTACTGTCACGTATAACTAATAAGAACAAATAAAAAATTAAATAAAAATAAGAAAAATATAAAGCCTTTTGAAAATCCACATTAGTGATATTTAATTCTTCTTTTATAACTATAATTTATCTTCTAGAGCAGTTTTAAGTTCATAGCAAAATGGAGCATCTGATGCACCACATGCCCAACTTCCCCCTTTATCAGCAATCCCCACCAGAGTGATGTATCTATGGAAACTAATGAACCTGCATTGACACTTCATGGCCATCCAAAGTTACTAGTTTACATTAGAGTTTCCTCTTGGTATTGTTCATGCAATAGGTCTTGACAAGTGTATGAGGATATTTATCTATCCTTATATTATTATGTGGAATGGTTTCACAGCCATAAAAATCTGTATTGTATATATTTATTCCTTTTCCCTCTGCCCTGTCACCAATCCGTGGTAATCACTGACTTAATTTTTCCTGTCTCCAAAGTTTTGCTTTATCCAGAATGGCATAGAAGTGGAATCATATATTATTTATTCTTTTTAAAGTGGCTTCTTCCACTTAGTAGTAGAGATTTCTGTTTCTTCCATGTTTATTATGGATTAACAGACCATTTCTTCTTAGTGCTAAAGAGAATTTCATTAAACATACTACTGCTTATTATTAATGCTTAATTCACCTAATGATGGATGTCTTGGTTACTTCTGCATTTGGGAAATTATGATTAAAGCTGCTATAAATAACTGTGCACAGAACTTCATATTGACATAAATTTCTAACTCCTTTAACTGTACACCAAGGTATGTGATTGTGACACTGTATGGTAAGACTGTATTTAGTTCTGCAAGAAATCATCAAAATGTCTTCCCAAGTAGCTGCACTGTTTTGCATCCATATTGGTAATGAATAAATGCTCATGTCTTTATCAGCATTTAGTATTGCTAGAGTTTTAAATTTTAGACATTCTAAAATGTTTGTAATAGTATTCTATTTTTTTTCAATTTGTAATTTCCAAATAACATATGATGTGAAGCATCTTTTCATATGCTTATTTGTAACATATGTGCATTCTATGGTGAGCTGTTTTTGAGGTTTTTGCCTATTTTTTAGTTGTGTTGCTCATTTTCTTATTTTTGAGCATGAATAGGTATTTTTGAGAACAGTCCTTTAGCAGATTTGTTTTTCACAAATAATTTCTGTCAGTCTGTAGCTTCTGATTTTCTTGACCGCTATTTTAGAAACATTTAGTGTTAGAAATATTTTCCTCATATTTCTTTAAAATTTGGAATATTAATCATAACWTCTGAAACTACTTGAAAAGCTCTTAAAATACCATGTTATAACATATAACAGTTTAATACATGAGTTTTCTACAAAATTGTTCATTAAAAAAAAAGGAAAATCCTTGGTGTTTTATTATGTCTAAAACATTCAATTTGCTCTTTCATTTTCCATCCTTCCTTCCTTTTTTCCCTCCTTTCTTCCTTTTTTACTCTTATTCTAAAAAATGTACTTTAATTATTTCTGTTGTAATTTTTATAATTTGACTTTAAATCTTCAAAATATTAAACCAATAATCTCAGAACTTTTCCCATAATTTTTCTCAACCAGAGAAATTTACTTATAAGAAGTTATTTATTCTAATTTATTTGCCATTGATTTTTATGATAGTATGAAAACTTTTTATTCTTATAAGTGTGCTAATATTTTAATAGTTAATTTAAATATTTGCCATCCTTTTATTTTCAATTTTTAAATTATTTTTTTCTTCTTGATAAATTATAGTAATCACTTTTGATTACTCTAAACTTCTCCTGGTGTATTGTAAGAATTGCAGTAGTTCTGCACTTTAATTAGGGAGGAATTAACAGCCCTCTGTAATTACTTTTTAAATCTTTATAGATAAATATAGCCAATTAAAAAAATAATGAATATTATGTAAACAAACTGGCCTTAAAATCTACAATAAATATTATTTAATACCGTAAGACAAGAAAAAGAAGTAAAAGTTACAAAGATTGGACAGGAAGAATGAAATTGTGTCTGTTAAAAGATAATGATCTTCCATGTAGGAAATTCATATAAAACAATTTAAAAACATAAATAAATAAACAACAACCATGACAACAAAAACAGAAGAAACATTCTGAAACAAAATAAAGCAAACAGAAAGTTTGCAAGATACAAATTAATAATATATAAAATTAATTTGATTTCCTGTATAAAAACCAAACCAACAATGAAGAGGAAATTTTTAATAAATGCAATACTACTATATCAGTACCACTCAAATGAAATTCTTTTCTTTAAATTTAATATAATATGTACAGCATGTTTACCTGTAGAAAAATTATGACACTCATATGAATGAAATCAACAAATAACACAAATAGAGAGATATCTGTGGTCACTGATGAAGATTCAGTATTGTCAAGATGTCAATTCTTTCCCAAGAGATATATAGATTCAATGAAATCCCTATAAAAAATCCAGATAATTAGTTAATGAATATTTTTTTWAAAAAACCCTCTAAAGTATATTGAAGGACAAAGTTAAGGAAYATAACTACTGACTTCAAGACTGACTACAGAACTACAGTAATCAAGACAGTGTGGTATTTGTAAGACATGGGACAGAAAAATGGAACAGAATAGAAAGCCCCCAAATAGACTACATTTACAGAGCCAACTGGTCTTTGATGAAGTGATAAAAGCAATACAATGGAAAAAAGGCAGTCTTTTCAACAATTGTTGCTGGAACAATTGGATATGCACTGGCAAACAAAAGAATTTAGAACCAGACCCTAAGCCCTAAATAAAAGTTAACTCATAATGGATATAGAACTAAACATAAAATGCAAAACCATAAAATTGCATAGGAAAATCCTACAAACACTTGAGTATTAAGATGACATTTTAGATATAACCAAAGGTACAATCAATGAAAGGAATAAAATTGTTTCACTAAAATTAAAACATCAGTGAGGATGTGGGAGAAAAGGTACTTTCATATATTGCCGGTGGCAATGCAAATGGTGCAACCACTACAGAAAGCAGTATGGAGATTCCTTAGAAAACTTGGAATSGAACCACCATTTGATCCAGTTATCCCACTCCTCAGTTTATACACAAAGGACTTAAAATCTGCATAATATAGTAACACAATAACATTAATGTTCATAGCAGCTCAATTCACAAGAGTTAAACTGTGGCACCAACCTAGATGCCCTTCAATGGATGAGAGGACAAAGAAACTSTAGTATATATATACACAATGGAATATTATTCAGCAGTAAAAGAGAATAAAAATATGGYATTTTCAGGTAAATAGATGGATGTGGAGAATATCATGCTAAGTGAAGTAAGCCAATCTCCCAAAAAACAAAGGCCAAGTGTTCTCTGATAAGTGGATGCTGATCCATAATGAAGGGAGGGAGATAAAAGAATTTAGATTGGGCAAAGGGAGGGAGGGGAGAGGATGGGAGCAGGAAATATGGAGGAATGAGATGAACATCATTACTCTAGGTACATGTATGACTGCATGTGTGGKGCAACTCTACATCATGTACAACCAGTGAAATGAAAAGTTGTGCTCCAACTGTGTACAATGAATTGAAATGCATTCTGCTGTCATGTATAACTAATAAAAACAAATTTTAAAAAATTAAAACTTCAGCTCTACCAAAGATAATGACAAAAGAATAAGAACACATGCAAAAGACTGGAACAAAATATGGGCAAAATACATCTGATCTCTGTTATAGTTTAGATGTGAGGTGCCCCCCAAATGCTCATGTGTGAGACAAGGCAAGAAAGTTTGGAGTACAGGTGATTGGGTTATGAGAGCCTTAACCTAATCAGTGAATTAATCCACTGGTGGAATTAACAGAGTATTAGCTGAAAGGGGATAGGGTGTGGCCGGAGGAAGTAGGTAATTAGGGGCATGCCTTTGTGGTATATATTTGAAATCTGTAGAGTAGCCTCTCTCTTTGCTTCCTGATCATCATGTGAGCCACTTCTCTCTGCCACACTCTTTCACTCTGATATTCAGTCTCACCTTGAGCCTGGAGAGATGGAGCTAGCTATTTATGGACAGAGACCTCCAAAACCTTGAGCCCCCAAACAAACTTTTCCTCCTCTAAAATTGCTCTTGTCAGGTCTTTTAGTCTCAGAAGTGAAAACACTGACTAAAACAATCTTTTCAAACTCAATCTCTTCAAACAATAAAAAAACAAATGACCTAACCACGTTGTTATATCTTAGAGTACCCTCTTAGCAAAGAGGAACAAAACACAGCAGAGGCAATTTTTAAAAAGGTTTAAATGAAATCTCAAGATGAATGTACTCTGTTTATAAAAATTATAAAAATATAGTAATACATCACTTCTGAAAATGTCTAATTATCTGTCTCTATATGCACCCATAAGTAATGTTGAAGAAAGGACTGAGCTTTAAGAGAATGACCCTACATTCCCATAAGATGCTGATTACTTTCTCATAACAATGTTAAAAAATACAAAATTCAGAAAGAAAATATCTTTTCTCTGTTTCATCACAAATTTAAATTCACAATGATATTCAGTACCACTGAGGGGCCCTGAACTATGAATTCCTTCCTAGAAACAACTTTTATATTAATAAGAACAAACAAGATCCACTCCCATCAGCCTCTGTGGGGCTCAAGCGCACAGCAGGCCTGGTCCACCCCTTTCCAGGTGGAGCAGACACTGCCAGAGCCTAGCCTTTGGAGCAGAACCACCCCTTCTTACCAGCAAACTACTGAGGAAGGTCAAGACCAGCAACCCATATCCACCCACACCAGCCCGCATGGGATCCAGGTTCTCAGTAGGCCCGGTTCACCCCTCCCCCCACGAGGCAGACACCACCAGAGCCTAGCCTTTGGTGCAGGACCACCCCCTTCCAACCAGCAGACTATCAGGGGATGTCAAGCTCAGCAGCCCAGATCCACCCACTCCAACTCACACAGGACCCAGACCCAGGATGCAGTAGCATTCATTGAGGGATACCAGCAGGGACTAGAAGCCCAACATCAAGGTGAGGTACAGACAATATGCATGGATGCTACAAGAATATAGGGAAGAAACTGTAATATCTCAGACCCATGCTGCAAGAAGGGAAGACACATGGAAAACATAAAAAAACAAGGGAGGAAAGTGCYCCAAACAAACCAGGACACTGTAATAACAGAACCCATGGACAGAGAAGTTGATGAAATGTCAGAGAAGGAGTTCAGAAGGTTACCACTGAGGGGCCCTGACCTATGAATTCTTTCCCTGAAACAACTTTTATATTAATAAGAACAATACAAGATCCACCCACGGGTGAATTAAAATAATCTATGAATTAAAGAATGAACTAAATGAGCAAATATAGGCAAAATTTGATCACTCCAACAATGAGATAAGAGAGCAAATACAGGTAGCAAAACATTATTCAAGAAAGAGATAGAGACCCTGAAAAAAATAGTCAGAAATCCTTAAAATGAAGGATACAATAAATCAAATAAAAAATTCAATAGAAAGCATAACCAACAGACTAGATCACTTGGAAGAAAGAATGTCAAATATTGAAGACAAAGTATACAATCTGTAAAATAAAGTTGATCACACAGTGAAGAAAGTTAGAAACCATGAACAGAACATCCAAGAATTATGAGACAGCATCAAAAGACCAAATCTAAGAGTCATTGGGATATAGGAAGGCACAGAGTTTTAAACCAAAGGAATGCACAATTCTCTTCAATGAGATAATATCAGAAAAGTTCCCAAGCATGAAGAACAAATTAGAAAACCAAATACAAGAGGCTAACAGGACACCAAATGTACAAAAGTAAAACAGATCTACACCAAGGCACATTATAATGAAAATGCCTAGCATACAGAATAAGGATAGAATCTTAAAAGCCGCAAGAGAGCAGATCACATGTAGGGGGAGACAAATTCGTATCTCAGCAGATTTTTCAACCAAGATCCTCAAAGCCAGGAGATCCTGGAACAACATATACCAAACTCTGAAAGAAAATGGATGCCAACCAAGAATTTTATATCCTGCAAATCTAAGCTTTAGATTTGATGATGAAATAACAAACTTCCATGACAAACAAAAATTGAAAGAATTTACAACAAGAAAGTCTGCACTACAGAACATACTCAGCAAAATATTCCAAGAAGAGAAAATGAAAAACAATGATGAAAATCAGCAGTGGGAGGGATTACACTAAAATAAAATCTAATCAGAGGAGAAACCAAGTCAGATTAAATACCAAAAATAAACAAAAAATGGCTGGGAATACAAAAATCATGTCTCAATAATAACCCTGAATGTTAATGGCCTAAATTCACCAATCAAAAGACATAGAATAGCAGATTGGATCAAAAAATAAATAAAAGAAAATAAAAAAGAAAGAAAAAAAAAGAAAGAAAGAAAGAGAAAGAAAAAAAGACCCAACAACATACTGCCTCCAAGAGACTCAGCTCATAGAAAAAGACATTCACAGACTGAAGATGAAGGGGTGGGAAAAATCATACCACTCACATGGACTGTGGAAGCAAGTAGAGGTTTCCATCCTTATATCAAATAAAGTAGACTTCAAAGTAAAGTCAATCAAAAAGGATAAAAAAGGACACTACATACTGCTCAAGGGAACCACACACCAACAAGACCTAACAATATATATGCACCCAACAATGGAGCAGCTATCTTTATCAAACAAATTCTTCTCAAGTTCAAGAGTCAAATATACCACAACACAATAATTTTGGGTGACTTTAACACAACTCTTTCATCACTAGATAGATCTTCCAAGCAAAATCTGAACAATGAAACTGTAGAAATCAATAACACAATCAATAACTTAGACTTAACTGACATATATTGAATATTCCATCTTTCAACAAGAGAAAATGCTTTTTTCTCAGCAGCACATGGATTCTTTTATAAAATAGACCATATAATATGCCACAAAGTATCTCTTAGCAAATATGAAAAGTAGAGATACTTCCTTGCATTCTATCAGATCATAATGGTATGGAATTAGAAATCAATGGTAAAATAAGAAATAAAATCCACTTCACCTGGAGACTAAATTATATGCTACTGAATGAACAATGTGTTACAGAAGACATCAAGGAGGATATTAAAAAGTTTTTAGAGGTGAATGAGAACACAGATACAACATATCAAAATCTCTGGGACTCTCTGAAAGCAATTCTAAGAGAAAAGTTTGTTGCATGGAGTTCATTMCTTAAAAGAAGAAAAAGTCAACAAATAAATGACTTAACACTACATCTCAAAGACCTAGAAAAAGAACAAATCAACACCAAAAGCAGCAGAATATAGGAAATAATTAAAATCATAGCTGAAATCAATGAAATTGAAACAAAAGAAACAAAAGAATTGACAGAAAAAAAGTTTTCTTTGAAAAAATAAATAAAATTGACAAACCACTAGCCATGCTAATTAACAGAAGGAGAGACAAAACTCAAATAACATACATACATGATGAAAAAGGAAATATCACAACAGACACAACAGAAATTCAGAAGATAATTAGAAATTATTTTGAAAACTGGCACTCTAATAAAATAGAAAATATCAAAGGCATCAAAAAATTTCTAGAGTCATATAATTTGCCCAAATTGAATCAGAATGATATACACAATTTAAATAGATCAATCTCAAGTGACAAAATAGCAGATGCCATCAAAAGTCTACCAACTAAGAAAAGCCCAGGACCGGACAGATACACATCCAAGTTCTACAAGACCTTTAAAGAAGAACTAATACCAATACTCTTCAACTTATCTCAGAAAGTAGAAAAAGAGGCAGCACTTCCAAACTCATTCTATGAAGCCAAAATCACTCTGATTCCAAAACTAGGCAAAGATACATCAAAAAAAGAATAGTTCAGACCGGTATCTCTAATGAACATAGATGCAAAAATTTTCAATAAAATTCTGGCAAATTGAATGTAAAAACATTTCAAAAAGATAGTGAACAAGGGTCAAGTGAGATTTATCCCAAGGATGCAAGGTTGGTTTAACATACAGAAATCAATAAATGTAATTCATCACATCAATAGACTTAAAGATAAAAATCTTTTGATCTTCTCAATGATGCAGAAAAAGCATTTGACAAAATACAGCACCCTTTTATGTTCAAAACTCTAGAAAAACTAGAGATAACAGGAACATATTTCAACATTGTAAAGGCTATCTATGCTAAGCCCCAGGTCAACATCATTCTAAATAGAGAAAAATTGAAGGCATTCATTCTAAAAACTAGAACAAGACAGGGATAGCCTCCTTCATTACTTTGATTTAACATAGTTCTTGAAAAACTGGCTAGAGCAATTAGAGGAAAGAAATAAAAGGGATACACATAGGAAAAGAAGAACTTAAATTGGCACAATTCTACACCTAGAAGACCCAAAAAGTTCCACCAGAAAACTTTTAGCATTAGTAAATAAATTCAGCAAAGTAGCAGGATATAAAATCAACACCCATAAATCAAAGGCATTTCTGTATATCAGTGACAAATTCTCAGAATGGGAAATGAGGAAAACTACCCCATTTTCAATAGCCTCAAATAAAATAAAATAAAATAAAATACTTGGTAATCAACTTAACAAAAGAGGTGAAAGATCTATATAATGAAAATTACAGAACCCTAAAGAAAGAAATCAAAGAAGACCTTAGAAGATGGAAAGGCCTTCCTTGCTTTTGCATAGGCAGAATTAATATTATCAAAATGACTAGGGTATATAAATAACTCAAAAAGCAAAACACCAAAAAAAATAAATAAATAAAAATAACTCAAATCAATAAATGGGCCAAGGACCTGAAGAGACTCTTCAGAAGATGATATACAATCAATTTAACAAATACATGAAAAAAATGTTCATCATCTCTAGCAATTAGAGAAATGCAAATCAAAACTACTCTAAGATTTCATCTCAGTCCAATCGGAATGGCAGCTATTATGAATACAAACAACAATAAGTGTTGGAGAGGATGTGAGGGAAAAGGTACACTCATACACTGCTGGTGGGACTGCAAATTGGTGCAGCCAATATGGAAAGCAGTATGGAGAATTCTTGGAAATCTGGGAATTGAACCACCATTTGACCCAGCTACCCCACTCCTTGGTCTATACTCAAAATACTTAAAAACAGTATACTCCAGGGACACAGCCTCATCAATGTTTATAGCAGCACAATTCATAATAGCTAAACTGTGGAGCCAACCTAGATGCCCTTCAATAGATGAATGGATAAAAAAATGTGCCATATATACACAATGGAATATTACTCAGCAATAAGAATAAAGTCAAGGCATTTGCAGGTAAATGGATGCATTGGAGAAGATAATGCTAAGTGAAGTTAGCCAGTTCCCAAAAAGAAATGCCAAATGTTTTCTGTGGTATAAGGAGGCTGATTCATAGTGGGATAGGGAGAGGGAGCATGGGAGGAATAGATGAACTATAGATAGGGCAGAGGGCTTGGAGGGGAAGGAAGGGGACATGGGGTTATTAATGATGGTGGATTATGATAATCATTATTATCCAAAGTACAGGTACGAAGACACTAATTGATGTGAATATACTGTGTATACAACCAGAGATATGAAAAATTGTGCTTTATATGTGTAATAAGAATTGTAATGCATTCTGTTGTCATATATAAATAAAAAATAAATTTTAAAAAAGAACAATACAGAAAGACATTTCAGGACAATAAGATATATATATATATATATATATATATACACACACACACACACACACACACACATACACACACATATGCATATACACACATATATTTTATGATATAAAATTACATTCATTACAATATGTATATATGTATCTCATCACAATTGAAATTGTTTAAACCATATTTATATCTAAAAATATCAAAGAGTTCTTTCTGATATTTTATTTTACTTTTAAGGAGAAGAGAAAAATAGGCTCCATATTCTTCTTTAAGTATAATTACAATTACTTTAAGGAATTGTTTAAATTTTATATCTTTTTCA